AAACTCAAATGGGTCCCACCGTCTGCTTGTTTTCTAACTGAGGGAAGGGGTGCCAGAGAGCAGCCACCTCCTGCACTCCTTCACTGGCTTGCCAAGTTAACGAGCCTCTGTCAGGCCTGCTGTACTGCTGCACCCCGTGCTGTCACTGGAGTTTAGGGGTGCAGAAGGCTCTTTCCTAGGGGCCCGCTCTCAAAATATGAATGAATGAAATGCTGACATGCAAAACGTTCTCTGCATATTCAAGTCTCTGGGCATTTTTATATCAGGTAACCGACAGTAGGCTCTGGACCTAGAGAAGAGCCCAGTACAGAAATGACTACTTTAAAGCCGAGCAGCACTTTGAAATTAGAAGTGCAGCAGAGAGAGTAGTCTCCACAAAGGAGCTTTGCAAACCAACAGCCTCTGCTTACAGCCACTGTCCCCTCCCCTGAAAAGAACAGCCAGTTTCAGATATTGGGGGATTTAGCACCAAAAGCAGCCACAGGGTTTGGGGTTTGCAGCCATCAGACAACTGGCCATTTAAGAACGGCTTTCTATCTGCAAGGCAATCCAGATTGTTCCGTATGCTGTCGCGAAGAAGAAGGAGTTGTCACTTTTGCAACCTCAGGGTAATCCTCTATGAACAAACCTAGCAATCAGAAAGGAAGGGGAGGGGAAATGGGCCTCGGGGTGACGTTTGGCTCCACCTCAGGCCTACCTTCTCATCTTCCCTCCACGATACGCAGATGCCATGCTGACATGCCATCTTGTTTGGCCTTGGATGACTTCTGGCCTTAGAGAACTCCGCAAAATAAACCTGGACCCACAGGAGTAGCTGCCCTTGAAGTGGCAGCTCAAAGACTTATGCCTAAACTTGGAACCTGGAAAAGAGGGCACAAGAAAGGAAAGTCCCATGTGGGTTGGCCCTGGGTCTCTGACAGGACAGAGTTTGCTCTGGCAGTGCACCGACTGCCTCAGAGGGTCCACTGGATTCCCGACATGGTGTCTGCTGGACCGCTTTCTTCTCCTGAGAGGGCCTCTGGGCAGGAGAACCAGCCAGGCCTGAGTTCAGATTGGGGCCTCCCCGTCAACCGTTTCCATGGGCCACTCTCATGGTGTCGCTAGAGCTGCCAGAACCCCAGAGCTCCAGCCAAAGCGCCAGGAGCGCCTGCCTTTGTGCACCAAGAGCACAGTAGCTTTTTGTTTCTTCTTGCCACTCTGCGGACCTGACTCTACTTTATAAGTCAAATCCCATAGAGATGCTTCTCTTTCTTCCACACAAAGGAAAGAAAATGCACAGACTATTCAGTTCCAGCTTCCAGACTCCACTCAGGAAACCATCGATATGGTAGGAAGAAGAGGCCAAAGACGTGTCCTGATAAGACGGGGCGGGCAGTTCTCACTGCCACAGGGTGCCTGAATGTATCTGCTGGCCCTGAGACATCGTCCTGTCGGGTGCCACAGTGTTGGCCGTCACTGCAATGACCCTAAAGGCAGCAGATAGAGAGCCGAGTCCAGGCTGACCCACCCACTGCCTGCCCTCTGGCTCAGTCCACACTGTGTGGTGAGGGCTTGGCATGGGGCAGCCTGGCTTGCAGACCATGTCTGCAGGACCCTGCAAACTGCCAATGATGGCCACTCGTGACCAGCTTCCATAAAGGCCGATGCCCTTGCTTTTTGAGGGTCCCTCTGTCCTACTGGACCAAGTGCTGGGCGCCGCATGCCCTCCTGCCCAGCATACTTTCATGGAGCCGTGTGCACAAGGCTGATGGCCTGCTGTCCCTCACAGGCACCTGGGGCTCAGTGCTAGCCCCTGACTCGGGCTCCTCCATAGGTGGTGGTAGGGGTCCACACACACCCCAGTCTTCTCTGATGACTTGGTTTTTCCATGTTAGCTTAAACACTAGGGATCAGTGGAAATTGCACTAAAAGCACTTGCCTGGGTCCTGCCCAAACTGGGATAAATAAAATCCACAGAGGAAACTTTCTCCCCTTTTCCCCCAGGGCAGGGCTGCTGTGAGAAGCACAGGAAGGACTCTCTCCGTCTCCACGCAGGGCCCCTTTGTGAAGGCCCTCCCCTCTGCCTTCTTTCCCAGCCCTGGACCATCACTGTAGGAGGCCTGTTCCCAAGATGCTCACCCACAGGGTGGGTCGGAGGTGGAAGAAGCAGCTGACTCTTGGGCTCTGTGGCCAGTGAGCACACATTCCAAACTGAGTGACAATCAGAGTCGCCTGGAGAATGTCAAGAAGCATGGACTATGGGGCCTGCCCTGTGCTGCTGAGCCGCGATGCCCGTGGGTGCCCCAGGGTCACTTTTGTTGAGTCTCCTTCGGGGAAGCTCTGAGCTCAGCGTTAGCCCTGCAGGTTGAACTGGCTCAGCCGGCTGGGAATGCCTGGCTGCGGGGAAAGTGTCCTCTAGGACTTCCCATAGCCTGGAGTGTGCCCGGGATGCATTGGGAATTTCCCACAATGCAATGAGCACTGATTAAACCCTCTGACTATGGAGCACGCTTTTCCAAGGAGCGCTGCTGGAGCCAACCCCTGCCGAAGCCCCTAAGCCTAAGAACCAACCAACCCTCTCACTGGCCCTGAAAAATGAGCACAGGCCTGTACCCTCCGTCTGACACCTGGGAAGGGAGCGTCTGTCACAGGAACCCGAGAGAGATGGTCTGGGCTTTCAGGGTTGTCATGAAGGAAGGGAAGGACCTGGCTGGGCCGGGGATGGTGACTTCCCCACACAGGCTCTGAGCAGGAGGGTGAGGGTGCAGGGTCCACACAGTAAGTGGGGCCCAAATCAGGCAGAAATGAGGCATCCATGGAGCCAGGCCGAGGCAGGCGGCCACACCTAATTACTCATTGACCACTTGAGGCCTGACCGAGATTGCACATCTGTGAGTCACTCCCCCTGCCAGCTGCTTGGGTGTGTCTCCTCCTCTGGGTGCCAGGAGGAGACACACGGGGTGCAGGACCGTACTTGGGCAGCGCTAGAAATGCAGTGGAGAGAGGGACAAAGACAAATCAGCAACTGCTGGAGCGTGGGAGGGACAGGCGGGAATGAGCCTGCTGGAGGCTGTGTCCGTGCAGTTCGTCCATCAAGTCAGGGTCCAGTCAGCAGCAGAGAGTCCAGGCCAGGCGTTAAGAAGAGAGATGCAGCATGGCGACCTTGGCAAGGGTGCTGGGAGTCCCGAGGAGCCACTGGAGGACAAGGAGGCCACAGCTTCGGGGGAAGGAAGCGTCCGCCAAGGCTGGCAGGTCTGGGGGAAGGAGCTAGCCCAGCCCCCAGCAAGGCCCAGAGGCTGAGACGAACCCGCCAGGCACTGCACGGGCACTGGGCCTCAGGAGCTGCTGACCCCTGTGCAGACACCGGCCCCAGCAAGGAGGCAGAAAGGAAGACCCTAGGAGGCAGAAGGCAGCGACGGGAGCCTAGGAAGCACACTGGCAAAGTCACCTCTTCCCGTCAGGGCAAGGCCAGAAGAGGGCCGGGAAGTGTCCATGGTGCAGGGAGGGTGGCAGGAGCTACTCTCGCCCAATAGAGACAGACGGCAAGAAGTGAGAGCAGCCTTCCTCCAGGACACTGTGCCCAGTGGCGGCAGGAGGCCAGCCCTACACAGGCCTGTGGACGCCCTCAGACAGCCACACCTGTACCCTGGTACACCTGGTACGCGAGCAGGGGCTTCGCAGCCTCAGCTGTCCTGCGTCTGGGCCTGACAAAGCCTACAGAGGAAACTCTCCTGAGCACGCAGGGTGTCCAGGGCATCCCAGCCTCCGTCCACCGATGCCGGAGCAATGCCCAGTGTCTCGGGACACTGCCCTGTGCTCCAGAGGGCACGGCCAAGTTGAGACCAGGGCTCTGAACCTCGCAGGGTGGGGACCTGGAGGTCTGCACTCTGGAGCACCCCTGAGGCGCAGCCCTCCTGGGAAAACGGCCCCTCCCACAGTGGGCAGAGGAGGCCTCGTCCCCACCCTGTCAGCAGGCTGCAGGGCCACTGTCACACGGATGAATCTGGACACAGCATGCTTCATGGGGCCAGGGAAAGGTGGTTCAGGAGCACATTTCCAGGGGTGGCACATCCTGTTGTCACAAGCTGCTGAAGGGAAGGAGGCGGAGGACAGGCTGACCCCAGCCCTGCCGGACCTGCCAGGAGGCACCCGGCTCCATGTCAGAGGAAGTGGTGTGAGCTGAGGGGCTACCAAGAGGCCCGGCCTCCCAGCCAGGTCGAGTGCACAGAGCAGCACCCCTCAGACACAACACATAACAACACACACACACGTACACACACAACTCACACCATTCACACCACATGTATACAATATGCCACATGCATCACACACACACAACACACCACAAACACACCATACACACCACCTATAACACAAAGAACACACATCATAGTACTACACATATACAATACACCACACACACTGCACATGTAACACACCACATACAACACAAATAATACAAACACACCCACCATGCAATACATCACACACAGCACACACGCAACACACATATCACACCACAAACACATATGCACATCACATATGACAAACAATGCACAGCTCACACCATTCACACTACACACATACAACATGCTACACACAAAATACATAGAACACAGGCTATACAAATCACTTGCCACACACACCAAATGTGACATAAAAAACACAACACATGTCATACACACTACATACATAACACACGCACATTACACATCACACACACTACATGTGAACAATACACCACACACTTACTACACGTATAACACCACATGTGCATAATGCATACCATATACGACACAAACACATGTGCCATATACACTACACACAAGTCACCACACACATGCCACACAGCACCCAGAGCATGTACTATGTGTGTATCACACCCATGTACATGTGAGCACACACTACATGTGCCACACCACACACACACCACACACATCATTCACATGACAGAGGCTCAGCACACATGCACACACATACAGGCGTGGGTTTTCATCATCCCTGGGCAGCTCCCTCTGTACCTTTTCCTGCGTCTTCCTCCGTGGCCAGGAGATGAGCTCCATGCTAGAGCCGTGGCCATGAGCACTGCAGGCCGTCCGGGTCTGACTCTGCACACCGAGCACGGGCAGCACTGGCCCAGCAGGAGGGCCGTGTCCTGGGAGAGCACCTGACACTGTGGGACGGGTGAGTCAGGGACAGAGACGTTCAGGAGGCTCGGGAGGAGATGTGGGAGAGCCCGGGGGTAGGCCATGGGGACCGTGCTGGACCAAGCAGGGAAGCCTCCCTTAGACACTGATGGACTCACTGGCTTGTCCCTGTCCCCCACCCCCACTCTGTCAAGAGGGTCCCCACAGGAGACGGAAACAAAGCGGGAAGCCCAGTTAAAGGTCATGAACCACAGGGGGATAAATGGCTCACCTCCCAGGATCCCGCCACCACAGCAGACCTAAAAGTAGAGACTCCATGACTAAGGGAGTGAGTAAGGTCAAGTGCAGTCACGGGACAGGGCCCTGATCCAGCAGGATTAGTGTCGTTGAAGAAGAGGCTCAGAGAGCTCCCTCGCTCTCAGCCAACACAGGGGCCATGAGAGCACACACAGAGCTGGTGGCCACCTGCAGGCCAGCACAGGAGGCCTGGGGTCAGGCTGGCCTTGCCAAGAGACCATGGACTTCTCAGCCTCCAGGACTGTGGGAAAGCATTTCTGATGGCCATGCCACCCAGCCTGTGGCATTTAGTCACGGCAGCCCAGACGGACTGCTAGGCTGGCACATGTCAGTTCTCTCGCCGCCATCAGAGAGTGTGGGAGGCCAGAGAGGGAGGGGGAAGTGAGGGAGGGTGAGGTCCAACCAGGGGCAGAGCGGGTCTCATGCCCTCGAGTCGGCCCTGCTGTGAGGCACGGGAGCAGGCTCGTCCACCACTGAACCTCCAGGTCTGACCACAGGGGCCGAGGGCATTTCTAGAGTCTTCCTAGGCAAGGAGCCCAGTGCTCGAGGGCAGCAGCTGGAGGGTGTGAGTCAAGGCTGTAGTGGCAAGTGTACAGCCCAGGTGCGGAGAAGCAGGCTGGGCAGGGGCAGCCGTGGAGCCGCGTTTGGTATGTGGTAGGTCATTCAAAACTCCCGAAAAGCTGGGTTGAGGAGGAGAGGAGGATATAAGGAGATACTGGGTGTGGGATGGCCAGGTGTGGCCTCGAGAGCCCAGCCTGGAGCGTGTGGCCTCGCCTCTCTCAACTGCAGAGTCTGGCAGGCCAGGTCAGCCTGCAGCATGTGCCCATGAGCAGAGCCAGGAGAGGTCGGCTCACAGAGACCACCTGTGCCTTTTAGAGACCTGTGTTCAGGGGGACCAGTGCATTCTGCAGCCAGTGAGAGCGGAGAACGTGTGTATTTAAAGTTTTCCACTCCTGTGAGACCCATTCACATTAATCCACGGACATCACCACCGTGTCCCTGCCTGTGGTGCTGGGTGGAGACTGCCTGGCCCCTGGTCCAAGCCCCAGGACCTCGCTATAGAAGTCCTGCATGGCCGCTGCCTGCAGCAGGGCTGTGGCCCAGGGTCTGGCTAGTGTCAAGTGGTCCTCATGAACAACCAGCTCTTCCTCAAACCCTAGAGAGAAAGGAAGACCAACTGCACATGTCACCTGTGCATGAGCAGGCTGCCCAGGCAATCCCAGACTCCAGGTGGCTGCATTCATTGTACGGAGAGGGTACAAGGTCCCAGGCTGCACAGGAACAGGGAAGCCAAAGGAGGCTGCCACCATCAACCCAGAAAGCTCAAGACTGCTCTGTCCACTCCCTGACTTCCTCGTCCTGAGTCTCACTATCCATCCTCAGAGCAGGGTGGTCACTAAACCTGTGAGTCCCACCCAGAGATTTGCTTCCCTATGTAATAATTAACGGCTTCAGTGTTCTAACATCTGGATGCCCTCTATGCCTAAAGCATCCCTTCTAAAGGTGCTGCATCCTAGGAGATAAGGCCTGTGTGCTGTGCTTGGTCTCCTGGGAGCCTTCTGCCTTTTCCCATCTGAAGGACCATTTCCTCTGGCTCTGATTTCCAGGACCATCTCTCCAGGCTGCCCGTGCTGTCTCTCCCCGTCTCATTGCCCGTCCCTGTTCAAGCACGTCAAAGGCATGCACGAAGGCCCAGGCATGGCTGCCATTTAAAGACAAGCAGGGAGCACGGCACACAGTGGGCGCTCAATACAGCTTGCCCGTCCAGCAACCGAGTGGGCGCACGCGCGGATGGATGAATGAGTTAATGGGAACAAGTGCAGAATCAACTGCGGGGGAAGGCATTCATCGGGCGCACAGCTGGGCGACGGGCAATTTTTCATTTATGCTTCAGGATCCGCTCGAAATTCAAATTCTCATTACGGCGCGGCCCAGAACACAAGCGGCACTTTGAACGCCGACCCACAGAAGGGGACGGTGGGGAAACGTGATCACGTCCTTCCTACTGATTAGGACCCTGCAAAAGGGAATGAAAAGATGGGCTTCAAACGCTTTGACTGTGAAAGGCCAAGAGGAAGGCAGCCCTGCGCGGCCTGCTGAAGCCGGCCCTTTCAGTCACGCCACCGCCACCACCAAGACATGTCTGCTGCCCACCACATGGCGTGTTGCCGTGCCAACATACATTCTGAGTCACCCAAGCAGATTTAATGTCATCGCCACGAAGACTTTTCTCTTTGCCTTTTCTTGTGAAATTGTTAAAAGGAAGATTCTGACCTACCTAGGAAATTATTTTAATCAGTTTCGTTCCGGAAATAACTATGGGAATTCAGATGTTTCCATTCTGCTGCTTCTGGAGATGGCAACAAATGGCTAATGAAGCTGCTCCTTTCCCCCCAGCCCGCGGGTGAGACGCTGTGATTGGCAGCCGTTCCAAATCCCACATGGAAGGGCCAGAGTGCATAAGCATATGAAAAACTCGCAGAAATGAAGCTTGTGAAAATGAGGAAAAAACCCGAAATCGGGCCTCGCTCCTCATATTCCATACAGATAGCCATATCCTCCTTCATTCAGCGTCCTGCCCTGCGGCCACGACTCTCAGGGTTTGAGAAGCATGGCCCTGGGAACACAGGCAGCATCATGTGCTGGTGCTACAGCCGTAGCCAGGTGGGCAAGACCCGCTCCGAGCAGGGGCCAAGCCAGGGCATGAGGTGCACAGAGGAATGCGCCATCTCAACACTGACAGGAGACCCAGCCAAAGAACACGCGAGCGCGCGAGGGAAGCACCCGAGGAGCAGAGAAGGGGACATCCCAACACGGCTTGACCGGTTTCTAAGAACACCTGGGTGGCCCTGTGCCAGTTTGGAGCACAACATTCATTGCTTTACCTGTTCATTCGACTACAAGGATTGGCAGGCATGTGGTCTCCATCTCTGCAATCACCTCCGATGGAGGTGAAGAAGTGATTCTGTGGGCAAGAGGTGAGGTTCAGGGGAATGTCGCCAACACCACCGTGCTAGCAAGAAGCTTCCTCCCTGGCCTGGTGCCGTCCCGTCGGCCGCTCTGTCCACTATCCCTGTTCTTTCTGGGGCCTCTTAAACTAAATATTTTCAATATTAAAATGAAATATGAAACCTCCCAAATGCACTTAAAAGATTGACTAATGCTTAATGTGTGTGTATGCTTCCCATGAGCACATCTTTTATATAAACCCTAATGCACTGAATTCATTTCATCGACGTCCACTTGGCCACAATGAGAACCCTGGCCTGAGTCCCACACCCGTGTCTCCCTTGCCTGTAGCTGGAGTCTTGGGCCAGGCTCTCCACCCAGTTCTATGGACGTCTGAGGTCTGGTCTTCTGCGTCATGGGGGTGCTCCTGAGCACCTGAGTTTGAAACAGCACCCCTGGCCTCAACCCCTGAAGGCCAGTCACATGACCTGCCCAAGCTGTGACAGTCAAAATGTCTGCAGACATGGCCACGTGTCTCCTGGAGGGCAAAGTCACAGTTTGAGGTAGACGGGCCTCACCTTTTTGGTCACTGCCCACAGGCGGACACTCCCCCTCCCTGTGGCTCTGGAATGCACTGTTTTGAGGAAAAATGCAGACTGTGCCCAGAGAATGCAGATGGACCATGCGGCCCCTGAGCACGGATAGTGTCTGCCCTGGGCACTGTGACAGACCCTTTGCAGCAACTGTCACTTGGTCAGTACAACAACCCTATGAACAAGACCATCTTCACCTGACTCCAGAAGCAAGGAAACTCAGGTCTAGCAAAGTAAAACCTTCCGCGTCCCCCAGGACAGTAGGCGGTGATGACAGTGGGCTGCACCTCTGGCTGCCTATGACAGAGTCCCAGGCCTTACAGAAGGTGGACCTCAACCCTGGAGCCCAGGCCCTGGTCAGACTGTCCCAGACATGACCATGGTCCAGACATGACCATGGGGATCGTTTTGTGTGTGTGTGTTAGCTACGTGGGCTGTAGCAGGTGCCGGTGCTGCATGTGCTCGTGTGTGTGCATGAAAACTGGCTTGAGGTAAGCAACCTCTACTAGAAGGGTTGACCCAGTTGACCCATCACAAAAGCAAATAAGCCTCGGCAAATCCCACCTGCACCCATTAATTACAGTCAGTGTCCTCAGGGCAGAAGCCCTGTGTCTGGTAGAAATACCATGCCCCTGAACTGCTGCCCTCCAGAGACCCAAGAAGCCTCCAGGGGTAGTGACCATATGTCTCCATGCTCTGCCAGAGCTGAACACACATGTCCAAGGGGTCTCGTCCCTGGTTGCTGGGATGAGCACTCACAGGAGACCTCGAGGGGCCAGTAGTCCTAGATCAGACAAGCATTTGCTCCTTGGTGCCCAAGGAATTCCACATCCAGCCTTCTCAGCGGCCTAGCTTTCCTTCTTCACTTGCAGGAAACCCAGGTGTGATCAAAGCACGTTGCTTCCTCGTGGAACTAGATGGAGCATCTGACGCTGATTCACAAGAACAGGCCGCACTGGGGACCTCTGGCATCTCACCGCCAAGGCGGGAAYGGTGGGCATGGAGTGTGTCTCGGGGCGGGTGAGAGGTCATCAGGGCCCCAGAGGTCATCAGTTGCTAAGGGGTAATAGCTTTCTTGCCACCTCAGGAGACAGATGTTTTTAAACACTGGCCACCAAAAAGGATGACCCTGAAACCGAAGAATTTCAGACCCTCTGGTCTCTGGATCCCCAGGAGGCCAGAGGCCTTCTGCCCAAGGCCCACCCAAGACACGATTCCTTCTACCTCCTCCATGTCCACATCCGTAGGGTGGGACAGAGGTCCCTTTCCATCTTAGAGGATGAGCACTCTCCCTGCGGTACCTTCTGCACCCCCTGACCTGTGTGTCCAGTCTTGACATCGCTACAGGGAAGAGTGTTGAAGCCCAATTCAATCAAAGTAAAGCTTTGGGGTCCCAATAACCTGGGACTATTAGGAAGTCTTGGAGTCCCAGGCAGGACTGCAAAGGGGATTTCTAGAAGGAGCGGGGAGCACTCATGACAATGGGTGTGTACCTGCAACATAG